ATAAAGAACCCTCCTCTATTTGCAAAAATATAAAGTCTTATTTTGATAATGAAAGATATAAGCTTCCTAAAAAAGTTGTGTGCCAATTGTGCGAATGGCCGAGGTCGTAAAGATACGGTCGGTTTAGGACAGAATAATAATTCGAGGTTCGCTAGATCGAACCCATTTATCTGAAAAAAAATTAAATTCAATAATTTTTCTAACTGTGTAAATAAATAAGATATATAGATAAATAATTAAATTTATTGAGTGCTGCCAGTATTACAAAAATTGACATAATATACATGTGCATATATATAAATATAAATGTGTATATATATATATATATATATATATATATATATAAATATATATATATAAAGATAAGAAATAATAGGAGGAGGATAATTTTTAATAAATTCATATTCACGCCTGGTTAGCAGTAAACCAAACCTACTTTGGTGTAATTTAAAAATCCTTTTTTTTCGATGGAAAACCGGTCTATCAGGGGCAGCCAAAATTGGTCAAAATCATGACTTTCAAATGCAATTTTAAGGCCCTTAATGAATGAAATTGATAATTTTAATGAATGCATTGTGTAGACTAAAGTACAATCTTTATACCAAACCAAAAAAATTACAAATTTATCGTCGTCTTCATAGTTAAAATCAGCTTCAAAGTTGGCCATTTTTCAAACTTCAAATTGGTAACAAATGCAGAAGAATTTTTTTTCCAAAAACTGATTTCATATTCGGTATCAGCGCCTCGAAAACTATCAGAGTCGGTCAAAACATTTTGAAAATCGCGAAAAAAAATTTTCATTTCATTAGTAAAATTTTGATTTTGCAACCAAAGATTTCGATTTTTCAGGGGGTGTATGTGGGTTTATCCAAAAACGGAAAATATTTTCAAAATCAGCGTCCCAAAATCAATCAAAACATTTGGAAAATCGCGAAAAAAAAACGATTTTTTTTAAAAAAAATCGATTTTGCAACCAAAGATTTCGATTTTTTGCGGGGTGTATGTGGGTTTATCCAAAAACGGATAGCATTTTTGAAATCAGCGTCCTAAAATCTTTTGGAATCAGTCAAAACATTTCGAAAATTGCGAAAACAAATCTATTTTTTTGCTAAAATTACGATGTTGCACACAAAGTTTTCGTTGTTTGGTTGATGATACACGTTCTGAAAGCTCATCAAACAGGATAATTTTGTCCTTTCTATCAAAAAGACTTTGTCCAATTAGTGGTTGTAAGGTTCCTTTTAAGGCATTCTTATAAGTCATAGGCACCTGTAATAAGAATCAAAATTTATTCTAAGGATATGCATCTAAAATAGGATCATTTCCAAAGCTTAGAAAATGCATAGATAGTCCATGGATTCAACTTGAAATGAATTTGTAGAATACATCATTTATTATGATCGAATAATTTGGTATCATTTTCAAATTGAGTAGAATGTGTTTAAAAAAAAGCATGAATTCTATGTTTGCAATATGATTTAGTAATTATAAATCTAAATTTTATCTATTTTTTAATAATATGGATAAATTGAAATGCCTAGAACAAAATTTTCAAGTTGTTTGATAAAATGTACACAGACACAAATTCGCGTTTCAGTTAAAAATTATACGAAATTTTAGTATCCAAATATATATACTAGTTTGCACTAAATTTTAGTAAGTTTTTAGTAAGTAATTTTAGTAATTTTAGTAATCTTTATACCAATAAAAATACAAATTTATCATCGTCTTCAGCTTCAAAGTTGGCAATTTTTCAAACTTCAAGTTTTTCAAAAACTGATTTCATATTCGGAATCAGCGACTCGAAAACTATCAGAACAGATCAAAACATTTGAAAAATCGCGAAAAAAAATGTTCATTTCATTAGTAAAATTTTGATTTTGCAACCAAAGATTTCGATTTTTCGCAGTGTATGTGGATTTATCCAAAAACGGATAATATTTTTAAAATCAGCGTCTCAAAATCTTTTAAAATCAGTCAAAACATTTCGAAAATTGCGAAAACAAATCCATTTTTTTTTGCTAAAATTACCATGTTGCAACCAAAGATTTCGTTGTTTTGCAGTGGTACACGCCCTGAAAGCTCATCAAACAGGATAATTTCGTCCTTCTCATCAAAAAGACTTTGCCCAATTAGTTTGTTGATTATATTTTTCATCTATTATAGGGGAGACCCAGGATTTATGTTTCCTTGTAAGGCATTCTTTCATGCTTTTTTTAAAACTCATTTTACTCAATTTGAATAAATATCAAGTTCAAATCATGGACTATATCTATCCACGGATTTTTTAACAAAGTTTTTGCCGTTTTATTTATATGAAATATTCAAAGATAACACCGGTTTTTAATACTTTTTTAAACACATTTCACTTCATTTGAATATAATAAATGCAACTCCGAGTTTGCGCAGAGGTATGTGCATTTATCCAAAAACAAATAGCATTTTTAAACTCAACGCCCCAAAATATATACAAATCAGTTAAAGCATTCAAAAAATTGCGAAAAAAAACTTGATTTTACAACCAAAGATTTTGATTTCTAAACTAAATCTAAAAACGGATAGCATTTTGAAGACAGGGTCCCAAAATCTGATAAAATCAATCAAAACATTTAGAAAATCGCGAAAAAAGTTGGTCGTAGGGGCAGAAGGAGTGAATTTTTCCAAAAACTGATTTCATATTCGAAATCAACGCCTCGAAATCTATCAGAATCAATCAAAACATTTTGAAAATGTTATTGAAAAAAATATTAATTTCATAAGTAAAATTTCGATGTCGCAACCAAAGATTTCGAGATTCTACTCATGTATCGGAATTTATCTAAAAACGGACAGCATTTTCGAAATTAACGCCCTAAAATTTATCGGAACCAGTTAGAACGTTCTAAAAATTGCGAAACAATCTCGATTTTTTTGATAAAAATTCGACGACGGAATCGAAGATTTCAATTTTTCGCAGAAGTATGTGAATTTATTTAAAAACGGATAGCATTTTCGAAATCAGCGTCCCAAAATCTATTAAAATCAGTCAAAACATTACAAAAATCGCGAAAACAAATCCATTTTTTGACAAAATTTCGTTGTTTTGCAGCGATACATCAACCCTGAAAGCTCATCACTTGTGATAATTTTGTCCTTTCATTAAAAAGACTTTGCCCAATGAGTTCCTGATTATATTAAAAAAAAGGTAAACAGTAAACCATGAAAATAAACCATAGATATATCTTTGAAAATTTGAAAAAAATTAAAATGGCGAAAAATTAGCAAAATAAACCATACATATATCTTTGAAATTTTATTACTTGCTTAAGATAATCACGAAATTGTCAACTTCCCAAAAAATGTGTTTTATCAGAACTAAATTTAGCAGTACAACTTAAAGCTTAGCGGTTACCTTTAAAACAAAATTGAATAATCCTGCCTTTAAACACCGGTTATGTAACCAAGTGGTTAAGCGCTTGACTGCAAACCCATATGCACTCTCATCGAATCCCCTAAGCGTCTATGCATTAGCTTACAAATCCAGTAATAATAATAAAAGTAAAACTCACATGAAATCCAAAATCCTCAGAAAAGTATGTGTGACCAGGATTAACACATTGAGCTAGCCAGTAACAGGATCACACTGTTCATTTGTACACTGGTATAAAATGAATTTACTGTCCGTTTTTTAAATTTGTAACAAAACTCTACCTCAAACTGCCGACATCTGTGTGGTAAATAGGAGTTAAATTTTCTAAAATAAAACTAGTTATATGAATTCATATGCAAAAATTGCAGCTATGCATTTGATGCTTCTCAAACAATAAAATTCTTTTAATTTCTAAAAAGAAATTGATACAATGACACTGCAAGATACACTTTTAAAAGCTAACTGGGATTCTGAAATGGCAAAACCCGTGCTTGCTAATTATGTATCACCACCAAAACATTACTATAGAAAAACCAATTATTTTGCACATTTAGCTCTGTATCTTTGAAATGGCTGGACCTGCCTTTGCTAAAAACTAATCACCTCTTTTCCCAATCATTACAAATAGAATGTATTTTAGATCATTCAAGTCGTACTCCCATAGATAAATAAGCTCCATTCTCTCAAAAACTCGATTTGTATTTTCTGCACTCTTTGCTCTGTATCTCCGTAATGACTGGACCGTAACTTTTGAAGTCAGTGAAGACATTTTTGAGAATCCGTTTATGAAAGATAAAAAATCTGGTCACATACACACATACATACTTTTACCAAATTTGGTCTCAAACGATTTAGCATTACTTGAAAAGTTAAGTAAATATAAACTTCTACAGTATAAAACAAATTGAAATGTTTCTTACTTTATAGTAAGCCCATGGAAATTTAAACATATAATATTAATAATTGAAGGAATAACATGACATGAAAGCATTGCAATAAATAAATCAAAGTAAAAGCAATAAATTATATTTTTTTAATACTTTAATAAATCATATTATTTGACTTATGTCAAAAAATGTGTAAACTATTGGTTAGAAACATGACTCCTGGTAGATAATAAAAAATATTTGGGTTAAGCTGATTGAAATTTGCTTATTATTACCACAAAATTTCTTCCACATTTATTTATGATTTAAACAATGTGCATTTACTATATCAAATCACTTCATAAACTTATGAGAAAAAGTCCATTTCGATTACACTTTTGTGGTTTGCAAGTAAAAATTAATCAGATTTGTTATTATTTTGATTATACCACATTTAATATATTAAATTTAGATATATAAATTGCAATTGAATACATATCAAAATAGATATTTTCTGCAGTAAGAAAATAGTAGAATTCACTACTATATTCAGAAATATAGTAAATAATTTCAGTTATAAATTATGTTAATTATAATACTGTTAATAAAAATTATAAAAAACGAACGAATAAAGTTCTAGAACTAGCTGTCATTATCTTAGGTTGGTACCACTTGTTCAGTCTCTGCGATACGTCACATTTTTACTTTAGCCGTAGAGTGTCCTATCTCCGGTCACTCTATGGCTTAATTCGATAGTTGTTGACAGCATTTTGTCTTACGCTCAGTTCTGTACAAATATCGCGGGATTTAGGCTTGTTGTTTGAATTTAAGTTAAGTTTATAGTTCTTAAAATGGGCGACGAAGAAAAAGAGGTGCAATTGCCAGCAGGATGGGAAAAACGTCTTAGTCGATCGACTGGTAAGCGTTATTAATAATTTATATTTATAAACAATCTTCATACAATGTGCTTGTGCATTTTGCAAATACTTTACATAATGAGACAATGTTTATTTTGTAACATAGTGTACCTTCAATGCTATTTTATGACAATAAATAAATCATAGTTCATTTTGGGCGTAGAAAAATCTATTAATGCATACAAATCGATTCCTTACATTTTTTTAGGCGTGGATTTGAGATTTTCATCAACACTTTGATCTAGATTATTTACTTTTGTCATATAAAAATTAGATTCCTACTAAAATATTACTGCAGTAGTATTGCCTTATATTTCTTCAAGATTATTAATGCCTTCTTTTTATTTAGGTCAGCATTATTACCTGAATATTTATACAAAAGAATCTCAATGGGATGTACCAGAAAAGCCTGCAGAAGCCGGGCCGCAAGATGGGCCTGAAACTGTACAATGCTCACATTTACTTGTTAAACATAAAAACTCAAGGAGACCAAGTTCTTGGAGGGAAGGCCATATCACAAGAACAAAAGAGGAAGCTTTGGAATTGCTTGCATGTAAGTTCTCATTTTAAATTTAATATTTATGTTGATAAATTATTGAAAGTATCACCACGCTGAGGTTATGTAAGTGGTAATCTACAACTATTGAATATGATTTATAAAACTGCTTTCTTATATCTATATAAATTACCACGTAAGTAATATATTTATTATTATTTCATTACTAAATATTAATGGACGATGTGTCATAGGGACTACAAATTTAAAATTGTTTTATTGTTTCATTGGCAAATTTGTAACTCAGCTTGAAAACACATTTTATTGAGGGCTGTCTTTTCCTTTAAAGTGTATTTATGCACCTCGATTGCAAGTTAATAGTTGGTTCCTGAGATTTAATTTTCTACAGAAACACATATTAAATTTTAGAGAGTTCACATAGTTTAACGGACATAACGCTAGTATTTTTTTGTTGTTGTTGCTGAGTTTTGTTTTGTTTTGATCTAAACTTGAAGTGTATTTTTTGTGGGTGTCGTATTTTATTCATGGCCTTATGCTAGTCTTTTTTGTTACTGAGTTTTTGATCTAAATTTCAAGTGTATGCATTTTTCTGTTGGTGTTGTATTTTACCAAAAGTGTGGAAAGTAAACAAGAAACATTTTTTGAGTTTCATAACTTTTGCAGTAGTTAGTGATGATTATTATACTCAAACTCAATTGTAGCATATCGTGAGGAGATTGAAACTGGAAAATCAACATTTGTGGATTTGGCACAGAAATATTCAGATTGCTCTTCAGCTAAAAGAGGTGGTGATCTAGGTCCGTTCCAGAGAGGAACAATGCAGAAGCCATTTGAAGAAGCTGCTTTTGCTTTGAAAGTAGGAGAAATGTCACAAACAGTTGACACAGATTCTGGAGTTCACATCATTTTGCGCACTGCTTAAAATTACAAATTATTACAAATATCAAATAGATGTTAAGAAGTTGTCTTATTTACTATTTTATAGATACTGGCTCTTGTTATTTTATGAAATAGCATGTTGAATTTGTCTGTATCTTCTGTATCTTATGTGTAATTTTATCTGCACAACCGTAGCTATTAATAATTTCTCAACTCAATGAAATTTAGGTGTTGTTTGTTGCGATAACCATTATTACTAAATAACTATAAAAATGAATGACTTGGTTATCAGAATTTTTATTATAGCAATTGAATTAAATTGCATAGCACATATTATAATACTTTCTTATCAATAAAAGTATATATACACCTTTTTGTAGCAAAGCTAGTTAGTTTAAGAAAATTCTATGCTTGTATATTGAATTTCTTTAAAAGGTGATATTATAAAATTTTAACAAATCATAGTAATGAGTATGCTTCCTCAAATTGAAATTTAACTTAAAAAAATTACTTTAAATTTATTTTATGATACCTTTTTCTTCAATTTCCATCTTTTCAAAAATCTTTACTTTCCTTGAAATTATGAATGCTGTATATATTTTGTAGATATCAAATTATACAGTTCGTTGATTATGTTCTAATGAGAATTCTTTATATTTTTAAACATTTTCAATCAGATTGGTTTTAATAACTTGCCCTCAAATTGAGAGCATTTTATTTTGTTTTATTCCATTATGATATTGGAAAATTTAGTGTATCTAAAGATTCTTATATGTTTCTATGCATTTATATTTGTATTTATGAGAATATAATTTATATTCTAATACATCAGGAGATTTTAGTTGTTTTTTCACTTCATTTGAACTCTTATCTGTTCACTTTAATACTATGTTGATAATTTTTTTTTTTTTTTTTTTGAAATAATTATTTGATCATTTTACTTTATTACATAGAATTTCATGAGCAAATACCAAAACTTGAAATAAGAATTTATATTCTCAAAATTTGGGAGACTCGTGCAATTTGTTAATGTGCAACTTATCCAGAAAAATTGCTCTTTTATTTTTGAATGAAATAGATTTTGCAGTTTATGAGAATATAATTTCATTTCTTTTACAACAATTTCATTTTTTTTTATTCATTTCTGCTTTAATTGCCTTAATGCTATGCAACAAAACCCAATATTGAAAAATGCTACGTCTTTTCTAATATTTCGCCTAGGAATATGTTTTTCATCTCTGGCAAGTGAAATTGTAAACTGTTTTGTAGGCGTTGCTAATAAATTAGTTCATTGTAGCAATATATATTAGTTAGGAGCATATTTTTATTTTTTAGTATACATCTAGCAAATATAATAAGTGAATGATAATAATGAGTGGCACATACCAATATTGCTTCTAGCGTTAGATAGATTTATAAACCATGGCACAGTTTTTGTATTTTAATTGAAAACCTATTCTTTTATAAAATGGCATACCTGAATGTTTCAGGCTGAATCTTTTATCAAAATCACATTTTTTTCTCTGCCTTACGGATATTTAACTGTTCTAAAGCAAAAATATCAATCATTATGATTTTACTTTAGATTCCAAACTATTTCAAATTTCAATAAAAAACTTTAAAACGAAGGCAAAAGACCATCAACGATACTTCTACCTCTGAATTTATCTGATGGTTTACAAAATGAATTGTTCATTCTTTTAATTTTGAAGTGTTTACCTACATTAACACTTCATTGAAAAAACAAAAGCCAAGAAATATGCACTCTGTCCTAAGTGGTCTGCCCATTATTCCAACCTTTAATGATTTTTATAAATAAACCACTTTTCGTAGGCCTATAATATTTTAGCATATTGGTCGATTCCAGAAACCCGTTTCAATATTTTCCACAATTAATTACGAAGAAACAACCCGACCGATCTTTACCATAAACTAACCAGCACTATTCCCAACTGATTCAAAAAAAAAATCAAAAATCGGTTCAGGATTTTTATCAAAAACGTGGAAGAGAAATTTTGCCCTCATTTGTTATAAGGAAAAGGGTAGGGCGATCTTAGAGTAAACCTAACGCCTCTTACCTTTTCCTAATTTTGATTTAGACAATATAAAATTAACGAATAAGCAACATGAACTTCTCCTTCAAGCTCTTAAAAATTAAACATCTTTTGAAATATTGGTTTTATCCTTTTGCGTGAGAGCTGCATTACGAAGGAATGCTTTTTGAATAAATCGAATTATTTGGACAATAGTGAGAGTACAGGAAGCTCCAATTTAACGAACAAAATCGACCAAAAGGTCATTATCATTTTAAAATATCTTCACAATAACCTAAAGAACTTCAAGGTTAAATTATACTGTTATCACTACATTACTAAACGCTTCCGGACTCTTTGTAATCTCATGAATTTCGAAAATAGACAATCATGGATAATGCAGCCATTTACGAGCTGTTTTGATAGATTTGTTTTGATTGCGAAGAAATTCTAAGAAAACAGGAAGATATTTTTTACCAGCGATTAGAACTACTTATTCTATGAGCTTTATTTGCTTTCACACATCTTAGTTTTTTTCCAACCCAGTGGTCATCCACTTTTCTTTTTCATGTTTATGAAATCTAATAACATCAATTGGAAATTTGATATCAGCTTGATATCGAGCTGGCCAAAATTGGGATTGAGCAAAGACCAGTTTGTGCTGGACCACGTTCGTAACCATCACAGGTTAACAATAAAAGAGACATCAGGAAGAAATTATAGTTCTTAATATTTGTCATTCGTTGGTTTGTGACATCTACAGGATTTAAACATAAATCTTCAGTTTAAATTCAAATGGCACTCTTGAGAAATAAAATATTTGGTATCTCATTCAGGTATTTAATTTCGGGTAAAATCCTTGTGGAGTTTACTATTGCGCAAGTGTATAATTTATATATAGTGTTGTGATTGGAGGCAACTATGGATTTCCATCAAGGTAAAATTATTTTTACCACAAAATATATTTTCTAAAATCATTTTGCTTGTATATTATTGTTTAGTATGATCATTTTTGAGGTTTTTAGTTAATACATTTTTTTACATTTGAAATCCAATTATATCTTTTGTGATTTGGAAAGACTGCAAATGCATTATGCAACTGCATTGATTGTTCATATTTATTGTACGTGGCTAGCTTGTGATGAAAGGCCAATAACAATCATAATAATTACAATGTTGTCCTGGCCAATTAATTATTTTCTTCTGATAATTTCGAAATATTTTTGATACAACAAGAATAAACAAAATATTTTAATAGAAGCATGTACTTCGAGAAAAATATTTTTTGAATGAAATATGTCGGTCACATAAAATCTGTTTACATAATTGTTTTTTACCAGTTTGGTACCAGAAATAGAATTTCATTCATTCATTACTATTATCGCCGGAAGGACTAACAAGTATTTCCAGTTATCTTTAAAAAGTGCTGTTACTATCAGAGGTCCTTATCTATGAGGGCATAGATTATAAATAGACTAAATGCACTATCCTTGTGGAATGTTTGATGAATATTAATCTAGATTTATTAAAATTCACATTCCTTACATATCTGCATATTAGAATTTAGAATTGCGCGAAGGTTTCCTTTGTTGGACAACTAATGGATTTTTTTTATGCAAATGTTGATATAGATGTTGGATATGGATGTTGATGCAAGGTCATGAGCGTAGTGTTTTGAAATATTACTGAAATACTAATAATAATTAACATAGTCTTCTACCCAATCTTCCAAGTTTGAGAAAATTTTGAAAATCATTACCACATTGTGAGTTGGCCCTACGACATTTACCATCTTCATTAAAAATTTGCAATTTGCAAATATGTTAATAAGATAATATGTGGTCCTTATATGTTATGAATAAATAGATTTTATTATTGGTAGGTCAAATATGCATAATTCATAATTCCAATCAAAGTATGTTTTCGTTCCAAAGGAATGCAGAAAAACCTTCGTGCTCGGAATTTAAAAATTGCGATTCTCTGCTGATTGATTGAGAGAAGTTGAGAATCAATGTCATTTATTCATCCAATCCTATTAATGAAATATGTACTAGATCAACAGATTTATAAAGAATTTATACAGAACAGACCAATTATTGTTCTCTTGTACCCTTGAAAATGGAGTAGATATTTTTAAATCTACATGACATACTGCATTCCTCATTCTGGAAGTTGATTATGGAAAATTATCAATGTATATTATCAAATATGTCAAGTGTTCAGTTACTTTTGGTTGGGGTTTCTATAGAAGAAATAACATATTTAGATAACTCTTCAGTACAAGCCATACAAAGTTTGATAGCTACCAATTTTCCTAAACATTTTTTTTTATTTGGACAGTATTCAGATCTATCAGCTGTTGAGCTGTAGCTGTCATCCTAGCGTATAGGTGCTATTTTTGCTATTTAGAGCTATGTTCTCAAGTGAAAACTGATATTACTATTGCCTGATATCAAGCTGTACCAGAATGGAGCAGAAACTATATTATTCTCAACCGTAGTTTTTTTTAACTTCTGTGTCATCTAACTACCGGATATGATAATTTTTTTACCATCTCAGCTGCTGCAGTTATCAATATTAGGTCTCTGTCGGAAATTAATGCTCCTTTGAGCTTCACGATATCAATTGAACATGAATGCAGATGGAATAAATTGAAACACACAAGTAGCCTTACAAAATGCATTCTTTTGGCCCCTATGTGTAGTGTATACAAGCGTTTCTTAAAACATGATAAATAGAAACAAAACATATATTTACTTCTTGCAGTAAAATCTCTCTGTTATTAGAGAGCAACACATAGACAACACATGGAACAACAAATAGAAAGGACATTAACTGCAATTAATGTCCTTTCTATTTGCGATAAATTTGTAACAATTAGTAATTTGGAACTTAAGATATTTTTGCGGCAATGACCTGAAAAGCTATGTTCACTTGCTTTCACATTTTAGATCTTCAATCTCAAATAAAAATCTGATATCACCACTGCTTGATGCAAAACTTGTCCAAGTGGATATCGAATCTTTAACCAGTGGTTTCTTTTTCACGCTTCTACGACCAGCTCCAACTTATAATGAAATTTGTGTTGTCTTCAAAGATTTATTATTTTCATGTTTTACGAGTCAATTTTGACCCCAAATAAATAAGCAGCCTTTTTTGCTTACATCTGTGTATACTCTTGAATTTGGTGTCATTTAGGTGTTTATAAAAATTCACTTCATTTCGCAAATCATATTTGACCCCAAATGTTTAATCGTACTTTTGCTTTCCTTCGATTTAATTGTAGGTCATTCTCTCTTTCAAAAAAAAAATCGTATCTTAAAATTATTTTTTATTTTTTTTTATTTTTTGAATAAAAATGTTTAAATCTGGTTTTGTTCTTGTTCTCGTATATTTCTATAAACGGTTAAATTAAAAAAAAATATTTTTTTTGAAAATTCTTACTGCGTATAACCAGTGGCGGATTAAGCTTTCTGCCGCCCTAGGCCCTATCCGTTCAGGCGCCCTTTTTAATAAACAAAATTTTACTTTTTTAATTAAACAATTTGTTTTAAATTATTTAGATATAATTTTTAACTTTGCGTTGGGTAAGTTATAGTAATTTTAAATAGTAATTTCGGAGTTACGGAGCAAAGAGTGCAGAAAATAGAAATCGAGTTTTTGAGAGAACGGAGCATCCAATTTGAATGATCTAAAAAACATTCGATTTGTAATGATGGGGAGAAGTGGTAATTAGCTTTTGGCAAAGGCAAGTCCAGCCGTTACGGAGATACCCAGCTAAATGTGCAAAAAATGGCAGTTTTTGAGAGAACTAAGCGTCCGATTTGAATGATTCAAAGAACTTTCTACTTATTAACAATTTTTTTTTTCAAAAATTTTTTTTTGTGTATACCGAAAATAATTCAAATTTTATTTTCAATTCTGATTAAAGTTTTATATCTCACATATACTAAAGAATTATTATATGCTTTTAAAAAGAATAATAGTTATTGATTTTGAATTAGAGGTTGAAAAAATACTATATACATACTACAATGCGAAGAGATAAAATATATTTTATCAAGATCATATAACTCTTCGCATTGTAGTATTTATAGTATTTATTCAACTAATTCAAAATTAATAATTATTGACAATATTCTTTCTGAAAGCATCTAATAATTTTTTATGAAGTTCTGAAAAAAATTTAAAAATAACATTAACCACATATTAAAAAGCAAAGATTATTTTGCAAAAATTTTATTTTAAGATATTTTGACACATATATTGACACATTTATGTTTATTAATTAACATAATTATTTAATTATTTTAATTTTGATAATTATATGTACTTAATTAGGATGCAACTCTTTTCCTCACCACCCATGGGGTAGAGTTGCCAGGCGCGTTTTTTTTAATGTGGTGTCGCCACAGAAATAGATACTTCTATTCATATTTACGTTTCTAACATTTCAGATGGAAATGGATATAGTGTAAATACTACTAAGTATCGATTTGTGCAGCCCTAATCCACTTAAACTAACTTACAAACTAATTATACCTAACTGATATCGCGAAAAGAACAATCCCCGCGAAATGACCTAATGTACCCAAAAATTTCGGTTTTTAAAAATGAAAGAACCTCTTGTGGTTAAGAAAAAAATCAATATAAAATCTGTACTTTAGTATTTTAGCGGTGATTGTAAATTTATAAAAAAAGAGCATTTACATGATGTACCCCCCAGATCCACCATGTAAACACTTGGAAAAAAACTTCATAGGTTCCCAGCCTATGAAGTTTAAGGACAAATGATAATTAATTAATTAATGTAAAAAAGAGCGCGAAAAATATAAGAGAGGTTCTTTCATGACGCCACCCTTTTGAGCTCTGAATAAAAGTACGCGAACAACCCCAAAAAAGGTACGACCGAAGATTTTAATGTCAAAACGTCCCCTAACCTGATATTAACTAAATAATACTATAATAATAGAAAGTTTTATCTCACAGTTAATAATTCCTTTCGCTTATGTCATATCATCCAATTCAGTTGTAGGCGGTAGTTCAGGTAGAAGCGGTGCTAGTTGGTTTTGAGTTGATATTTTCTGCCAAATCTCGTGCAAGACCTAAAAAGAGGTAAACATAGAATTTCATTACATTTATTCGTATGGGTTGCAGAAGTAATTGTTGGTACCCACTTGCACATATCCTTTAATTCGGTAGTGGTCTCTTGGTGGTTCGTGTATCTCTTGGTAAAACATATAGACATACAATAAAATGTTTTCTTTGAAAGATATCTGAAATGAAAAAAAAACAGAAATGACCCTAAAAATAGGGACAAACAAATAAACGGGAAAAACAAATAAATTTTATAAACGTCCCGTATATATAAAAGAATATATGGTCATAACTAATAATAAGGTCAAATTAACAATAATAGGATAAAAACCTTTAAATTAGCGTATCCTCCTGGCAGTTATTTAGAAGTCCTGGTGCTTTGTGGTGCGAAAAGACAGCAGTATGCCAATAATTTTAGTGTCTTGGTACATCAATTGGTCTGACCAATTTCCTCCTATGGGTTGTGGAAGTAGTTCTTGGTACTCACTTGCACATATCTTCGATTCGGTAGAGGTTTTTTGGTAGTATGCTTGGTAAGCAATTTTCTTGGAAAGATATCTGAAATGAGATAAAAAAAGCACAAGTGCCCCTAAAAATAGGGACGAACATACAAACGGGGCCCCGGTAACAAAAATAAAAATATTTTATACTTATATCTAATTAAGGTCTAACTACTTAATATTAACTTATGAATACGAGAAAACCTGTAGGTATCCATATTCAGGTGAACTGAAAGGGTTAAGGGTACTCTTGTTAGAGTGTAAAGATTGCTATTTGGTATGTTTAGCATCTCACTCCCCAATATGAAGGGTTTACCTTAGCGCCCTAATTCGACTCAACAAAACCTGCAGTTACCAGTAGAGATTTTAACTAACTATACAATTAAAACAGAATCTACTTACCAACTTATTGATTGTTACCGAGTTATGTGTACAGATCCGAGACGTTGACCGCACTTATGTATAGTGATGCATTAAGCCTAAATTCGAATGTACTAACGATGGGGTAATGATAAAGCTAGAAATGATTAAAAATGTATAGAACGGCGTAATTACGCAGGGGAAAGCTTAAAATCGGAAAACTCGATCGAATTTTTCTAGATCGTGTTCTTTTTCCCTGGCACAACATCACAACCATCACTAATGCACTAACTTGTGTCCTCCGTATTGGATTGACCACCTGAGAGGACTGATACTAAAAAACGATCGCGACTCCGGACCTCATACGATAGGAGCCTTATAGGCAGGTGGGGATTTAGTTTAGGAGTTTAGAAACTCCTTGGAAATGATGTATGTAGTCTTTATCGCGATTCTGGACCACATACGACAGGAAGCATATAGGCGGGCGTCGGATGTAGTTTGCACTAAAGGTTGTGCAACCCTTTGGAAACATTGCATGCTGTCGTTACAAAGACGCAATCACTTTTTAAGTATCAGTCCTCTGAGGTAGTCAATCGAGTCGGAAGTACACAATTAGTGTATAGTGGTGCGTGTGTTGTTCCATGGGCGAAGAACACACAATCCAGAAAAAGTGAGAATTCTCCGATTGTATGCGATCCCCTTTGTCATCACGCCGTATCATACACATCTATAATTTCAAGCTTTTTCATCAACCAAAACAATAGTATATCAGAATTTAGACTTAAGACATGACTACAAAAATACAGTCATATCTTGGCACCTATGACGAACACAACTAGGTAACATTAAATAAGTTAATAAGTATAGATTCTGTTTCATTCATGTAGTTAGTTACGCACTCTACAGATAATTACCGGTTTTTATTAAAAGTCAGATTGGGGCGCCAAGGTAAACCCTGTATATTGGTAAACGCAATGCTAAGATGTACCAAGTAGCAGTCATTGCACCCCAAAAAGGTACCTTCAACCTTTTTAATCCACCACAATCTCCTAGCAGTCCTGGTGCTTGTCGTCGTGGTGAGAAATTAATTCTGCAACCCTGAAATGAAAAGTGACTTGAAAGAAATGAAATAGACAATGACTTATAAATACTATGTGGTAGCCTACTCGTATTTATTCCAGTGCTCTGGTACATCATATCGGTACACATGTTCTCCTGTTCGTTGTAGTACTCAATCCCCTGGTATCTTTAGTCGAGGCCCATTTACACTAAAATAAATGTCAATTTTGTTATTTTTTTACATAATTTAGGGTTTTGTATACATTACCTTTTTTTTTTTAACTTCAAACAGTACGTTTTCAACGTTTCTCCGTTTAGGAGACTTATTGTGCAATCACAAAAAATTTAAATTATTTAATTAAAACACATTCATTGCATTGCAGCAAAAAATCAGTCAAAATAAAAGCAAGTAATTTATTTAACAAAGTTTTTAGATTTTTAAACGAATTATTTACATCCATGCTACTAATAAAATAATTCAAAAAAATTAAACATTGTACAAATAATACTAATTATAAATTGAAGTGTATGGGGTTGCGTTGCTTCTGGGAAAAACATCGCAAGGACCCATACACCAAATGAAAAAAAAAAATTATTAACGAAACGCGAATTACTAGAACCTGCCGTGGGGGGTAGGCGACAGGAACACATTTAAACGCGGAAATCGTTTCAAACGATATTAAAATTACGAATAAGTCCTCGCACGAACAAAAAAAAATTAAAATGTGGACGCAAATAACTCAAAATTATAATTTAACATAATTATAAAAAATAATTAAAAATTGTCAATGTGATTGAATAAAAAAAAATCATGCACAATAAATTCCTAAAGCAATCCGCCACTGCGCAAAACACTGTATGAAATCTGAAACAAAACAAATGTGGTCAATCGTAAATATTTGAAACATAAGATTTATATTAAAATTTAATATTATTTAATTATATTTAAATTTAATAATCTAAAGATTGCATTAAATTATTTATGTTAACTCAAATAGATAAAATTAAATATTTTCACAACAATAAACACTAAGGCGACACTTCAGCACAAATATATTGGATTAGAAAATGTAACGCAAATCGTTTAATATTAAAGAGACGAATTTTTACTTCAATTTATTTACATTCTTATAATTATAATTCAACAGAAAATCAAGTCAAATCGAATCAACCTAAACACAAGTTTCATGACACATATTTGAAACTGAATGCACGAAATGATTACATAATACATAAATATTTTTTAAAAGACTTACCGCTGGCTGTAGTGTCCATCCACCAAGAGGTTCAAATGCAGAATGATTTTAGTTGTTATTGCGAACCTCTTTTATTGGGGTCAGAAAAGGACAAAACTATGAATTGTTACCAGATGATACTAAAATGCAAAAATTCAAAAATTGTTATCTAATTGAATAGTTTCGGGTTCGGAACCATAGAGGGTGCAATACGAAAAGTTTATTGTACCCCACAATCAGTCATAATTCAACCTTCGTGGCGAGATGGTCGAAATTATTACTGCTAATATTTGCATCTAGTTCTATTTGATTCATATAATTGATTTGATTGTGAAGTATTATTTGTATTAAATACGTTTTTATTTATATTTGCGTCTTATTAATTTATGCGTTTTTACATATAATTGTAAAATAAAACTAGTGGTGTATGGCATCGTGCCTTAAGGCAAATTGCTGGAACTTTCCGTACCGTAATGGAATATTCGAGAAATTTTAAACGGTTTTCAAATATATTATTACAGATACTGTAACTTTCATGATTTTTGCTATCTTGTTATATCTGAGCAAATCAAATGTAAATCATAAATCAATTTATCTCCAGAACATTAACAACAATCGTCATTTCTTTTCGAATTCAATTTAAAAAAAAAAATAGTTGCCTAATTTACACGAAATTGAAAAAGTGCTCCCGTATAGTCACAGTCTAAACGCATTTGCAAATAATTCTGAGCAAAAAAAATTTTTTGAAAAAAAAAATAGAAACAAAATTTTTTTTTCCAAAAGCTATTATTTTGGTGAACCAAGCAGAAAGTTCTTTGAAGTTCAGAAAGATTTTTCAAAATCGTTTGTTCTTGAAATTCATAATATGTACTTCACATAAGATGGTTGGAGCATAAAAAATATTTTTTTTATTTTTATAATATATATTTTGGGAATCTTTAGAGTACATACAGCTTCTTCATAATTCTCAGAATAAACCGATGTGATGAATGGAATGAATGAACTGTTTTCATCGGGTATGACCGTACCTCGACTTTTTATTACACATTAATTACTCAAGTGGCCGAAGATGCAAGACTACAGAAAAAAAGTTCTCTTGGGCATATCCCGAGAAACACATTCTTAAAAATAATAAATTTTTCAATGAGACTTTAAGATCTGCTGATTGCTAATTTTCTTTAAGTTGTAAATATGAAGTTGGGTGCAATGGTACTTTCAATTTGGCTTTCTTTCTCCGCAGATCAACAATCGTCTTTTACCAACACCTTTCTTGGGCAGACTTCCCTAATATTTTCCTTAATAAAACAAATTGCTGTTCAATAGCTACCGCAATTTCTTATCTAGTTTGGAACTATCAACAAGGTTATTATTAAGTTAAACTCCATGATTGTTTAATCACAGGTGCTTGTTTATATTTTTTATTTACCAACTAATTTTATACCGATTAGCATATGAGTGCGATAATCGTTCCGCAATATGTATTACTAATGCAGATTAATTGTTTATGAAATCGAATTAATTATTGTTTATAACTATATTATGATATATTGAACTGCATTCCATTGGAATATGTTTCATGCACGACATGTTATGGTTACTACCATATGGAGTATTCTTGTTTATTTACGCCAGTTGAAACGCTCGGTTTTCTTCTATATGGTTGAAAATATTATATGGCATTTGTTGGGCAGTAAAATCGTATATATTGTATGTATAGATGTATCAGGGGAGGACGAGTGTAATGGATATATGATAAAATTGAAAACTAGATGTAAATGTTTCTAATTCAGCAATATAACTCTTTAAGGATGGACTTTCTTTTCTTGCCAATCGATGACTCTCAGAGTTCCTAAGATTAAGATTTTGTAGATCAATAATATTATAGGGTGTTTGTTAAGAGCATGACTTCTATCAACATGCCAAATTTCATCCAAAAAAAGGTATCAATTAAATCTGAAGAAATTGTCTGACCAATTTTTACCAAGAACTACTCAGCATGATTCCCAACTGATATCTTTCAAACATTTAAAAAAAATTAAATCAGTCAAAGATTTTTGTTTAATACGTGGACAAACAATTTTGCACCTTCAGTTTATATTTTTTTTCAATCGATCCAGCAGTTTTTGAGGAAACGTCGAAAAAATCCGATTTTTGTTTGAAGAAAAAATATGATATGGGCGCCCAATTTGAATTGGTTTCAATTTATTCTGGAATTTTAATTTATT